AAGTAATGTTGGCAATATTTGAAGTTTTGATAAAATTTTCGATGTTGCAATTTTCATCGATAATTTTCAAAATTCGCTATAAAATTAATTTCTTGAAGGATCCTTGTGGAAATATCACCAATTATTAATTAAAGTATCCTCTTTTTAATGCAACAAGCCGTTTTGAAAAATCACTTTCAGTTCTTGAGAAATAAATTTTTGAAATGATCGAAAATTTTTTCGAATTTTACAATTTACGCCGATTAAGTTTTAAAAATTCGTATAAAATCCATTTCTTGGAATATAAGTGTGCGAATTTCCCAAAATGTTAACAAAAGTGTCCTCTCTCCAATGAACCAACACGTTTTGAAAAATAATTTTTAGTTTTTGAGAAAACAATATTTGAAGTTTTGATAACATTTTCGATGTTGCAATTTGTATCGATAACTTTCAAAATTCGCTATAAAATTAAATTCTTGAGGGATCCTTGTGGAAATATCATCAATTATTAAATTACAGTATGCTCTTTTTAATGCAACAAGCCGTTTTGAAAAATCACTTTTAGTTCTTGAGAAATTAATTTTAGAAATAATCGAATATTTTTTCGAATTTTGCAATTTTCGCCGATTATATTTTAAAAATTCGTATAAAATCCATTTCTTGGAATATAAGTGTGCGAATTTCCCAAAATGTTAACAAAAGTGTCCTCTCTCCAATGAACCAATACGTTTTGAAAGATAACTTTTAGTTTTGGAGAAAACAATATTTGAAGTTTTGATAAAATTTTCGATGTTGCAATTTTCATCGATAACTTTCAAAATTCGCTATAAAATTAGTTTCTTGAAGGATCCTTGTGGAAATATCGCCAACTATTAATTAAGGTAGCATCTTTTTAGAGTTAAGAGAAAATTCAGAAATGCACCAGAAATTATAACCATAATGGCCGAATAGATATGCCGGATATCCGGCTTTTCACAAAATCACTATCCGTATATATATATCACCAACTTTAAAATAAATTAATAATTATTCAAAATATTCACAATTATCTATCATTGTCAGTTGCATCATGTTTCTATTTTTGACAGGTTAAGAAATTAAATAAAATTTATGTTTAAGAATATTAATTAATTTTTATTAAATAGATTTAAATTTATTCTTAAGTTTTTTGTTTCACCGTTCGTAGAAAAAGAAATATCTATGCAAGATCAAATTTAATTTATTTTAAAAGATAAAAACTATTAATCAATAGGAAAACGAGATTTTTTTTAGGAAGTTTTTTTTTTCGGCGTTTCTAGAATTTCCAGACAAAGAAAAAACATCGCTACGTGAATAATAATTACATAAATCACCTACGCTCCAAGAAAAAACTCCCACAATCGTTATTCGAACGATTACCTCGAGCTGTTAAAAGCTTCAAACTGTAAATTTACTCAACCCAAATCAAAATTTTAATTCGCACAAAAAATCTTAACACATTTTCGTTAAAAATAAAGTTAAACAAACTTACTTTAGTTCAAATATTTAGTTTTTTTATTAATCGCTTAAAATACAATTTAAATTTTAAAATATGATTATCCATTAAAATGAACTCAAATAATTTCGGTTAAATTTTGTGATAAATGTTCTAAGTATTTATTTATTTTCTCTTAAGGCATAACGGTGAAGTTAATTTAAAAGTGATTTATAAACTAAGAGAAGAAAAACATCAAACAACAATTTCTTTTTATATTTATTAATCTTTTATTTTATTGTGCCGATATTTAATTATTAAGATAATCTTCTTGGGAGGTAAATAATTATATCAAAGAATCTAATTAACCCAGTAACTATAATGGACTGAATGAGAATATAAAATATTGAAAGAATAAAGAAAGAAAATTTTCTGGGAGTTTTTTTTCCTGTATTATTCGTAAACTTGGTCGTGAACTTCTCGATGAACTCTTCTCATCACGATGGGTCGACTATAAAACCTAAAAATTACACGCATCCTCGTCATTTACCCATTATTATCTGAAGTGATCACTTCACCATCTTAAAAAGAAAATAAATAGTCGTGAATTTATTTTTGAATTTCTAAAACATTCAAAAATGTTTAAAATATGTGTTAAAATTTTCGTAAGTATTTATTCTCATAATTAATTCGTTGTAATTTTTTTTATTTCTTTAGATTATCACATTAATATCTACAATATGTAAATCATACCAAAACGATTTAAAAAATTCGAATCTTATTCCAAAATTATCAACTTCTTACTCTTTTGGTTACGATATTGAAGATGATTCAACCCGAAATGTTCAATTTCGAAACGAACACCGACACGAAAATGGTTCTGTAACCGGAAGTTACGGATATTTACAACCTGACGGAAACTTGCACAAAGTTACCTACATAGCGGATCAATACGGATACAGGTTTTTTTTTATTTCAACAAAAATTTGTGTAAACTTACATGTTATTTGTAGAGCTTCTGTAGAAATTAAACCTCGTGGGGTTTTAAAACCAATTCATATCAATCGTCCTGAAACGCAATTATTCGATTTTTCTTCAAATTTGCCTCCAGCAAAACTGTTAGATGAAAATAAATTTAATGAACCAGAAATTCCTAAACGTTCTAACCCGGCTTACGAGCAAAACAAGTTACGAGGAAATTTTAAATATGGAAATTTAAAAAATACAAACCAATTGAATTTTAATGAATATTATAAAAGTCGAGGATTTTCAAAAGATTCATTTCCTCATAATGTGCCGAATTACATCAGCAAAAATGTAGTTGAGAAACCTAAATATCGAATGGAAAGAGGATTCGTGCCGTATTTTCCGGAAAAGCAACAAGATCTAGATGTGTATAAGAAATTATTTAAGAATTATTATGTTATTCCTTTGAAATAAATCTTTTTTATGTAAACTTAAAAAGCTTGAAATGATATCGTTATCGGCAGTTTTACCTAATTCCATTTCAGAGTTCGATGAAAAATTTGGCTTATTGTTAGTGCCACCTCTCAACTAGAAAATGTAAAATTGCGATTTGGTTTTGAAATAAGAAAATGAAACAATCTAACTAACAAAATAATATTAAAAATATCTGCTGTTCAAGATATAGAATAATTTATTAATTTTAACTAAGCCAAGCCATTTAGTCTATTTTAGTGGTGGAACGGATATCTCTTTTATCACTTTCGATTATTAATTAAAGTATCCTCTTCTTAATGCAAAAAGCCGTTTTGAAAAATCCGTTTTAGTTCTTGAGAAATAAATTTTTAAAATAATCGACATTTTTTTCGAATTTTGCAATTTTCGCCGATTAAGTTTTAAAAATTCGTATAAAATCCACTTCTTGGAATATGAGTATGAAAATTTCCCAAAGTGTTAATAAGAGTGTCCTTTTTCTAATGAACCAACTCGTTTTGAAAAATAACGTTTAGTTTTTGAGAAAACAATATTTGAAGTTTTGATAATATTTTTGGTGTTGCAATTTTTATCGATAACTTTCAAAATTCGCTATAAAATTAATTTCTTGAAGGATTCTTGTGGAAATATCGCCATTTATTAATTAAAGTATCCTCTTTTTAATGCAACAAGCCATTTTGAAAAATCACCTTCCATTCTTGAGAAATAAATTCTTGAAATGATCGACAATTTTTTCGAATGTTACAATTTTCGCCGATTAAGTTTTAAAAATTCGTATAAAATCCATTTCTTGGAATATGAGTATGAAAATTTCCCAAAGTGTTAATAAAAGTGTCCTCTTTCCAATGAACCAACACGTTTTGAAAAATAACGTTTACTTTTTGAGAAAACAATGTTTGAAGTTTTAATAAAATTTTCGATGTTGCAATTTTCATCGATAATATTCAAAATTCGCTATAAAATTAAATTCTTGAAGGATCCTTATCGAACTATCACCAATTATTAATTAAAGTATCCTCTTTTGAATGCAACAAGCCGTTTTGAAAAATCACATTTAGTTTTTGAGAAATAAATATTTGAAATGATCGACAATTTTTTCGAATTTTGCAATTTTCGCCGATTAAGTTTTACAAATTCGTATAAAATCCACTTCTTGGAATATGGGTGTGAAAATTTCCCAAAGTGTTAATAAAAGTGTCCTCTTTCCAATGGACCAACACGTTTTGAAAAATAACTTTTAGTTTTTGAGAAAACAATGTTTGAAATTTGGATAAAATTTTCGATGTTGCAATTCTCATCGATAGCTTTTACAATTCGCTATAAAATTTATTTCTTGAAGGATCCTTGTGGAAATATCGCCAAATATTAATTAAAGTATCTTCTTTTTAGAGTTGCCGCGTTAGTTAAATCAGCATCAAAAAAGTTCATTTTGTATCTTGGATCCAAATAATTTGACATATCTTATCAGCTTTCTTATTAATTTCATTTGTATTCAAATATCGCAATAATGTGGCAATGTAGGGTATCACTTCAGAAATGTACCAGAATCCGGCCGGAGGGGATGCCGAATATCCGGCTTTTCGCAAAATTACTATCCGTTCCATCACTAGTCTATTTAAATCATTAATGTCTACAATCTTTTTAAAGAAGAAAAACTTCTTTCCGTAGTTTCCACGGGTCTAAAGCGCGATAGCTTGCCGATGTTTACTCAACAGCAAAAAAACAACTCTGCCAACAAATGCTACTCTCATGTCCTAGATGCATGACCCCTGGGTGCATGGCATTTAATAGTTGTGCAGTATGTAGCAGACGAAAGAGAATGAAGAACGAGTTTCGCACGTTTCGAAGAACTCAGAAAAAAATACGAAAAAAGGAACATGTATATAACTCGTTTTAAAACATGGAATATGTACTTTCTATTACAAGTGGGAAGCAAAAACAGTGTTGCTACAGAGAATCGAAAGACATGATATAGAAATCTTAGCTTTACAAGAAATAAGATGGAAAGAATCAAGGTTGATCAAAAAATTTAAATTCATCCTGTATTACTCAGAAAGTAAACATCGACAGGAGGCTCGCGAGGTGGGCTTTATGGTATAGAAGAACGGAGATAAAGCAGTATTGAATTTCTTCCCTATCTCTGATAGAATTTGCACCCTGAGGATAAAAGCAAAATATTGCTTTCGTAAATGTGTATATTCTATGAAGAATTAAGGAAGAATTCTATGAAAAATCTAATCTGTATGCGATGAGTTTCCTAAACAAGATGTTATAATTACACTACTAGAGGCTTTATTGCAAAACTTCGAAAATAGATATCTTTGGGAAACACAATTTACATGAAACACAAACAAGAAGGTGCAATAACTAATACAACATGCTGCTACAAAGAAATTTGTTGCTTTCAGTACTCGGTTTGACAAAAAAAATATACACAAAGGTACAAAAAGATATTAATCGGGTAATAGGTATAAAAATGTTAGAACGCTACGGGGAGCTAACACAGAAAAGCTCGAACACCAACATTAAACATAACTATCAGGAAGAAATACCACAACGGTTACAAAGAAAAACACTTATTATAACAAAAGCTAGTGTAATAAGGGAAAAGAGAAATAATGGAAATGAGTGGTACGACGAAGAATACAGGATAGCTATCCAAGCGTATTCATATAGAGAATGCCAGACAAAAGTGTATTCAAAGAATCACAAGAACCAATCGAGATGAGTATAATAAAAGAAGAATAGAAACCAGCAGAGTGTGTCGCAGGAAGAAGGGGGAAGTGGTCAAAAAATGGGAGAATATCTTGAAGGTGGAGAGAGTATTTTAAAAGGGTTTAAAGAAGCAATATAGGCCATCAAGAACAGACGACGACATACACTGTCGAACCCGAAGACAAAGTACCCACATATGATGAAGTGATACAGTTAATTAAAGAGCTTGAAGAACCACAAAGCATCATAGGATTGAAACATGAAGGCAAACGTCTTTGGGAAAGGATTTCACACAATTTAATCAATTACACGAAAAGTTGCTTGAAGAAGGGTCTAGGTAATCATATTATTATTATTATTCATATTACTCTTTATTCAATAGGTACAAACAGCATAAAATACATCGTCACAAAACAAAGAAAATAAATTACAATTCAAAATTTATAAAAAAGTCATTAAGAGAATAAAATTCTCCTTCCTGTAAAATTTCTTTCATCGTGGCTCTGAACATTCTATAATTTATTTCCCTTATCTCCAATGGTAATGCATTATATAATTTCACCGCTGTAAAATTGAAACATTTTTGTGTTCTTGTTGTCCGATGGTACGGAATCGTCAAATCTCCTCTTTGACGCGTACTATAACCATGCTTGTCTGAGTTTATGGAAAATTCCTCTCGATGGTAACGTCATAATCTTTAATTCCTTGAATCGCGTTCTGCAACTGTCTCGTTGGGCCATTTTCAATAGGATTTGTATCCTATTCTATATCCAAAGGTAAGCTTTTAACTATAACTTTCAAACAGTGCAAAGAACCAGTCAATCGTTGTTTTAGTTTTGTTACATGATCCGACCAAGTGAGAGTTTCATTCAATGTAACACCCAGAAATTTTATTGTTTGATTTGTTACCTCACCTCCTTGTTTAGCGTAAAAGGTGAGTATCTTGGTTTTATCTGTATTCAGATTTAATTTATTAGTGTTAAACCAGTCTTCAGCCCGCCGTATTGTATGCTTTGTTTTCTGATTCTATTTCTATTTATAAGTGAAGTATCGTCGGCATATAAGCACATAGAGCTTGTTGGAATATTTTCTGGTAAATCATTTATATACAAAAGAAAATGAAGGGGTCCCAATACCGAACCCTGCGGAACGCCTGTTGTTATGTCTTTTAGTTTGGATTGACGATCTTTCCAGTACACGCACTGTTTTCTTCCAAACAGATAAGATCTGATTAGTTTCAATGCTGTACAGAATGGTCCAAATTTGACACTTTTAAAGGGAAACTCCTCTTTTTCTAAGAGATAGAGGAAAAATGATATTAGTATCTGAGGCTCGATTTTTATAAGAAACTTAATGGAGAAAACCACATATCGATATCTCTTACTGTTTCAGAGATGCAGGGTGTTTTTCGAAAAAATGCATTTTCGAAAAGTGTCATAACTTATTTCTTATTGATAAATCTTCCTTTCTGTGAAAACATTTCCAGAGCAACTTTTTATGTAGAATTCGATGGAATAAGTTAGCTTTCCCTCAAAGCAATATTTTAGCGGTTATTTGACATAAAAATGATTTTTTTAAACGGAACAGTCTATATATTTTTGCAAATTCGACGAGACCATAAAATTTCCTTTCCAAAAATATAGCAGACTTGATATCTCGTTCAAGTCTTCTTTGAAATATACAACTTGGAAACTTTTAAGATTTTCACTTGTGTACTAGTAGGCTAGTGGGCTTTGACGACGTTTCGATAAAACAAATGCATTGTTTATGAATATCTATCAGTCAAATTTTGATTCAAGTTGTAAGTGTTAGTGCTTATCGTTAGAGTATTACTTACAATAAAATTAGTTGTCATCAACTTTCAAAATAATGTCATATAAAAATTATGAAAAATGGGACATGATAGTATGGTTTATACAATTTGGGAAAAATGCAGGGACTGCAAGAAATTTATATCATGAACGATATCCAGAGAGGCGGCAACCTTTTAATGATACTTTTAGAAGATTGTGATATAATCTACAAAGTAGTAGTTTTGGGGGCAATGGAAAATAATCCACAGATATCAACGCAGCAATTGAGTGTAACCATAGGAATTCCAAGAACCAAAGCTAGGCTGATTTTGAAAAAATTCTGATTTAAGCCATACAGAACTAGCAAAGTTCATTACCTCAGACCAGGAGATCTTGAACGGCGCATGAACGGCCAATGGCTCTTGAGAAAATGTGACGAAGCACGCAATTTTTCTTTAAATTGTATCTGGACAAATGAAGCGTATGCGAGTAGTGCTG